CAGTTTGCTTTTTTTTTTTTTTTTTTTTTTTTTTTGAGATAGGATCTCACTATGTAGTTCAGACTTCCCTGGAACTCACTATGTAGCCCAGGCTGGTCTTGAACTCAGAGCAGTCCTCCTGCCTCAGCCTCCCGAGTACTGGGATTAAAGGCGTGTGCCTGGCTCAGAAAAGAATTGTTGCTCTTTTAATCTTAAACTATCTATGATGACTATCTTTGCAGGAGTCACCTGCAGGGGTGTGGTACTGGGATTAAACTCAGGGAGTGTTGAGCACATTCTTAGCTTTTTTTTTGAGACAATTAAAATGAGAATGAGAATGCTGGGATTATTCCCACTGTGCCTGGCTTTGCACGTAAATTTTGCCTTGTTGGGTTCTTGAACACTCAACTCTGTGGATATGATATATATATGATATACACAGCTGGAATACTTGCAATCTGTTCTCTATTTGCTTTTGTCAGAATTTATTTTATTTAAAAAAAACTTTTTTTGAGATAGTCTCGCTATATAGCTCAGGTTGGCCTTGGAGCTCATGGTGATCCTCCTGCCTGAGCCTCTTGAGTGCTGGGATTATAGGCATGTACCACTACACCTGGTTTTTGTCTGAATTACCCCAGAAAATGCATGAGCCAAGGGGTCTCATTACAGATTTGTACCCAACAATTTTGTTGATATATTTTAACTCATTAATTTAAAAAATTGTAAATAAGACACTTCATTTTTTTGTCTGTTCAGTTTGACCTTATTATATTGTTTTGTTTTTAATTGTAGATAAAGTGTAGCAATGGCTGCTGTTTATTCTGGCATTTCACTTAAGCTTAAAAGCAAGACAACTTCCTGGGAAGATAAACTAAAACTAGCTCACTTTGCTTGGATTTCCCACCAGTGCTTTCTTCCAAATAAAGAACAAGTAAGTTTAATGTAGAAGTTACATTTTTATAATCTAAAATAATCACCTGTTTGAATTGCATATTGACATTTACTTAAAGATCTGAAAAGGGCCAGGGAGGAAGCATCATTGGATATTAAAAAGTAATGTCAGTGAAAAAAAAGTAGTGAGTCAGATCTTTCAGTTTGATAGGTTGAAGGTTGGGAAGTAGAAATGTGTGTGTATTTGTGTTGTCATACTAGAAATAGGTTGGTACCAAGAAGGACATAACTCTGTGTTAGTATTTCTCAAGGTTATTTGCCTAAAAAAATAGTGCAGTAAACATGAGGATAAGTTCATGAAATTGGTTTGACATATTTCTTGATGCTAAAGATGGCAGCACAAAAAAAAATGTAATAAAGATGGATTGTACTTGTTAAAGTTGTGCTGAGGTATGGTATGTAGGGCAGCTATTGCTGCAGTAGGGCCCACATTTGGCTGTGTGTGGGAGTCCCCTACCCATTGCTGTACAGAGTGAAATGGAGTAGTTTGGTGGGAAGTTTGGACAAGGTGTGTGCTGTTCTTATGCTGAGAGTTCTTTCCTTCTAGTATCTGGCACTGTTCATATTGTTACTAATAGTTATGGTAAGAGAGCTGAGGCCTCTCTCCTACATGTTTTTTGCATGAGTAAGCAGGTCACAGTAGTGGAAACCTCGCATGCACAGCCCCTTGCTCACAAAACATTCATGTGTCCCTTCACAGGACTGTCTCCTGTGGGAGACAACTGCTGGTAACATGAGGTTGCTCATACACTAATCACAGGTGTGACTCTTACAGCCTTTTTTGCTTTGTTTGTATGATTCATTCTATGGTTATTCTGGGCAGCTGCATTTTTTTGTTTTGTTTTTGTTTTTTGCTTTTTTTTTTTTTTTTTGAGAAAAATGTCAAAAGCTGTGTAGTTCAGTCTGGCCTTTGAACTCATTATGTATCCTAGACTAGCCTTGAACTTGTGGCAATCCTCCTACTTCAGCCTCCCTAGTGTTGAGATTGCAGCTGTGCACAACTACGTGCAGCTGGGCAGATGCATTTCTAACTCAAAATTCAGCATTAAAAAACCCCCAAACAACAAAAAACAGCATAATTAAAAAAACAAAAGGGGAGGACATGTATTAAGGTTTTATCTGAAACTTGTCATTGGCACCATATGAAGATAAAATTAAGTTTTCTGTCCCTTTGTCATTTTTAATTTTTTGAGACATGGTCTTGCTTTGTAGTTTGGGCTGCCCTTGAATTCACTATGTAGCCTTGGATGGCCTCAAACTTGCAGTGATCCTTCTGCTTCAGCCTCCTGAGTGCTGGGATTACGGGCGTGTGCCACCATGGCTGGCCCCCCTTTTATTCTTTAATAACAAACATTTTAAGATACCAGAACATTTATCAAATATAATAACTACTTTAGGTGAGTTTTAAAGGAATTTTTTCTTCCCTTATAGTTGGATTTGGTCACAAGTGGGTGTCCCTGTAATGTCCAGCATCTTTCTCACTTGTAAAAAAAATTTCATAGTGTATTTCCTCCAAATTCAGGTTTTACTTGATTGGGCAAGACAGTCATTGGTTGCCTTTTATAAGAAAAAACTTGAACTGAAGGAAGATATTGTTGAAAGACTTTGGATCTATGTAGATCACATTCTACATAGCAGAAAATTGCAAACTCTCCTCAAGAATGGAAAGACAATTGACCTTCAGATTTCTCTTGTCAAGGTAATTAACAGTCTCTTTGTTAACCTGTGCTTTACATGTGTCTCTGTTAGTTTCCTATTGCTGTTGGAGCCTATTTGTTTTAGGGTCCATTGTATAGAGATGCAGGAAATACCAAAGTAGGGAGGAAAAGGAAGTAGTAATGTTATCAGAATTGTCATGATGTCGCCAAAAAATACAGTAAATATTTAAATTTAAAATGTATTTCATCAGAAGACACATTGCCATTAATCCCTCACAAAATATTCCCATGCTGGGTGAGGTGGCGCACACCTGTAATCCCAGCACTTGGGAGGCTATGAGTTCAAGACCAGCCTGGGCTACATAGTGAGTTCCAGGGCAGTCTCAACTACATAGTGAGACCCTGTCTCAAAAAACAAAACAAACAAAATATTCCCCCTTATTTTGAACACATTTATGCTATTGTTCTTGCCACTTTCTGAAGCATTTCTGGAAGTTCTCTTTCATGAGTGTCTTACTAGTTGTGCTGTTGCAGCTGCCTTGTCCTGAGTCAATTTCAAATGATTATCTTTCAACAAAAGTGCAATACATGTATGTACTACCTTGTGAATATATTCATTTTGTATCTCATACATGAATTAATTGTCTTAGTTACTTTTCTCTCTTTGCTGAGACAAAATACCTGACACTCAAAGTTAAAGGAGGAAAGATTTATTTAGCTCACAGTTTGTAGAGACTTTAGTCCATTAATGGCTGGATCCAAGGCAGGGTGGGTGGCATGGCAGAGAGGCAACAGTTCATGGCAACAAAGATAAGCAAGGGACCTTAACAGGATCTTTCTGCCTCTTTTATCCAAACTACCGGGATTAGGGTGGTGGTCAACCAATCATGGACTGATTTAGTAACCATACACCCTTAAACCCTGTGTCACACACACTAGATTCAACCACCTCTGAAAAAGCCTTATGACTGCATGAGGCTTTGGGAGGACACCTAGACACAAACCATAGCACTAATTAAAAAGAAAAAAATCTGAAAATCATTAAATAAATAAAGGCTGCCCTCAATCTTGTGGCACTCTTCCTGCCTCAGCCTCCCAAATGCTGGGATTACAGGCATGTGCCATCACATCTGGCACAGTTAATATATTTAATATTAAAGAATACTTAAACTGTTTCATGAATAAGTTTTGATTGCCTTTTTTTTTGGTACTGGGAATTGCACATACTCAGGTAAGCATTCTACTGGAACTATATTCCTAGCCCTTTTTATTTTGAGACAGGGTCTCAGTTGGCCTCAAGCTCGTGATTTTCCTGCCTCAGCTTCCTGAGAAGCTGGGATTACAGGTGTGTGCCACCAGTTTGTTTACCTCTTTAACTGGAAAAGGTAGCCAGCAAATTGTGCAGTGGTGATTTTTTTTTTTTTGGTTTTGAGGGAGATTGAAAGGAGACCTGATAGGCATTTCATCAAAGGTTTTTGACTGAAAGTGATTTTAAAATCTCTTAGTGAACCTCTTCCTCCCCCTTCCCCCTCCCCCTCTTTTTGTTTTGAGATATGGTCTCCCCATGTGGTTGTGGCTGGCCTTAAATTCAGTATATAGCCCAGGCTGATCTCAAACTCATGGTGATCCTCCTGCCTCAGCTTGTGAATGGTGGAATTATAGGCATGCACCTCTATGCCTAGCTGAATTTCACTTTCAAAGCACTATTTTAAAATACCACAGAATAGCTATTGCACTAAAAACTACTACTAACAAGCACGTGGTATGTCACAGGCCAAATAAATTAAGTAACTTGCCGACATTCACATGAACAGTGGGTGGTAGAGTTGGATTTAAACTGAGATGTCACTATCTTCATGGACATATGGCAGAGGAGAAGAGAGTAGGTGATTTGCAGATGGCTCTTGAGAGTTTTGAATAATCCTTTAATGTGTGGGAGGGCTGGGGATTTAGCTCAGTGGTGCCGCCACCTGCCCTGCAATTACAAGGTCCTGAGTTTGATCCCTGGTACCAAAAAAAGTCAGAAATTAAAATGTGAAAGGAAGATGTATCTCTGTTTAAGTGATCTTATTTTCTATGTTTTTATTTTTATTTTTGGTACTGGGGAGTTGAACTTTGGACCTTGTGTTTGAGAGGCAGACATGGTACCACTGAATTAAATCCCTGGCCCTACATTTTTATTTTTATTGTTTATAGTTACAAAAATATGTATTGTATATGTAAATAACTTGTAAATAAATTACACTTTTGGGTATAATCATGAAAAGGCTTTTTTTTTCCTTCTAGTTTTTGTTTTGTTTTGTTTTTTGGTACCAGGGATCGAACTCAGGTCCTTGCACTTACAAGGCAGGCGGCAGAATCACTGAGCTAAATCCCTGGCCCTTTTTCCAGTTTTTTGAGACAGGCTTTTGCTATGTAGTCCAGGCTGTCCTTGAACTTACTATGTAGCCCAGGCTGGTTTTAAACTCAGTGGTAGTCCTCCTGCCTCATCCTTGTGAGTGCTGGGATTACATGCTGTGGAAAAGATTTTTTGTAAAGATCGAGTCCTGAGTTGATGCTTGTAAGTTGCTTATGGCAAGTAGCTTTATTGCCTCAGAACCTTTAGGAAATGACTACTTCTCCGAAGTGTCTTTGAGGTGTAACTAGCTTTTGGTTTTTGAGTCTGTTGCAGCATCCTGCCTCTTCAGTTTATTGGGGATGAGAAGTTTCTGCCTTCTTGGCTCAGCTGCCAATTCTTTGGCACTGGCCTATAGGTTTTATTTTGTTTTGTTTGTAAGACCCATAGGCAATCTCAGTCTTGATATACCAGGAGGGACAACTGACTAGCACAATTATGTCTCCTTGGTTAGAGTAGTACAATCAACAATAACAGTAGCATTAAACACGGCCTAGAAAATGACAAATTGTAGCCCTTAATATGGCTTTTTTTTACCTTTAGGTGAGAAGATTTAAAAAGGGTTAGGGGGTAAAAAAACTGAAATAGAGGAGAAAGAGGTCAGAAGCAAGGCTGGAGGACAAACTTTAGGTAACTGGTGAACAAGACATGGGAAAGAGAAAAGGAAAAAATAAAAAACAAGAACAGAACAACAAAAAAATAGAAACTATCCAAAAAAAAAAAATTAGTGCTCTTTTTTTTTTGAGACAGGGTCTCACTATATAGTTGAGACTGACCTGGAACTCACTATGTAGCCCAGGCTGGTCTCAAACTCACAGTGATCCTCCTGTCTTGGCCTCCCAAGTGCTGGGATTACAAGTGTGAGCCACCACACCTGGCTTCCAAGAAAAAAATTAAACTAAACCAAGAAAGAACTAGAAAGGAAAAAGATTAAAAAAAAAAAGCATCCAATTCAAGGTGTGTCTCTGCTGTCACTCTTAGGCATTGTGGGCAAATAGAGTCCAGAGCTAAATTGATTCATCCCACCAAGCTAGCTTGAGCTTCACAGTGGGGTAGTGGATAATCCCAGCCAACCTGCCCTTTTAGTTCCTCTGAAGTTCAAGCTGGTTTCTGGCTATGAGGCTGGAACTGGAATCTTTGAGCTTGCAATAGTTTATGTGTCTCCTGCCAGCTTGAACTCTACTCTTTGACTTCCTGCTCACTTGAACTCAACACCCACACCAAGGCACCAGAAGGCACTGGATGGAGTCTGCCCGTGGCTGTTCTAAGTTCCGAGCTCAGTTGGCCCCTCTCCATTATGGCTACCAGCCAGTCACCCTCTCTTGGGTGAGGTCTGAATCCGAATTACTCACCAGCTGCTGCTGCAGTCCAGTTAGTTCACTGCTTATTCTACTGGGGCGTTTCTCCGTGGAGGCTTCTGGGGTGGTCATGGTCAGTAGTCACTGTGGGTTTGCAGGTTTGGCCTGCCATTCTCTCTCTCAGAGTCCGGGCTCTGGGAAAGAGCACTGCTTGGAACCTCCGTCTTCTTCATTAAAGTTTCTCTCTTCACTCTCCCTGTGGACTTCATTTCTTGCCTGAGATCCTTCCTGTGTCCTGGAACCAACTTCCCTCCTCCTCATACTTCCCTCCTCCTCCTCCCACTGCTATATTCCAGTGTCAGGACACCAAATCTCAGAGACGCTCTTTCTCTGCTGCTTACCTCTACATCATCTTCCCAGAAGTTTTCCATGGAAAAGATTTTTACTGATGTAATATCATGAAAAATCTGGAGCCCACCGGTGCCACATTGACATCCAGGGATTTGATGTGTTCACTGAAGTTTTTCAGTGTGGTTTTGGAAGTCCTAGCAAGCACCTATTTAGTGGAAATAACAGTGCCTGTCTCATGGGCCTACTGATAGCTTAGCATCCTGGGCTGGCTTCTGTTCTCAGATGTCATAAGGCTGGGAGCAAGTTACTCAGTATACCAGTGAATTTTAGGAATCTTCCTGGCTCATGTTTCTAGTGTCTAGATTTTAGAACTTTGAGAGCAGAAGACAGTGGGTCTGCTATGTAGTGAGTAACTGGCAACATTTGCTTTCCTTTTTGTGGAGGGCCCTTTTTTAAAAGTATGTTTGACTATAAAAATGTATGTTGGACTTCAGAGTCATGACCCAAGGGCTACTGCCTATCCATCTGGTAACATCTGACCTTAGTTACAGATTGAAGCCTTACAAAGCCTGGCATTCTTTTTTGTTTTTGTTTTTTGAGACAGGGTCTCACTATGTAATTCAGGCTGGACTTGAACTCACTATGTAGCCCAGGCTGGTTCTGAACTCACAGTGATCTTTGTGTCTCAGCCTCCCAAGTGCTGGTAAAGCCCAACTTTTTAAAAATGGCTACCAAATTTACAAAGGCACTAATTATTTTCAGAGTTGATATTGGCAGGAGATAGATGTGTGAAGAAATTAAAACAGGCGCTTTACCTTTTTTTTTTTTTTAATTGAGTTTATTGGTACATTTTAGGTATGCAGTACAGTTACATTCATTATTGGGATCTTGTACCTTTGCATGACAGGTCTTGGTTCTCATTTTTTCCCCTTGTCCCTGCCCTCCCTTCACCCCTTCCTCCCATCCCCATTTACAAACACTTTATTTCCATCTTAGTTTTTAATGAACTACACATGCAGATACAATCTGGGCATTTCTCATAATGCAGAAGAGCAGGTTGATTGATTCTGTTGTACTTTGTTGTGTATGTGCAAATTTGGTGTAATAATGAGTTCTTTTTTTTTTTTTTTCCTTAACATTTAGATGATAAATGAGAGAATATCTGAATTCTCTCTCTCTGGATCTGAAAGAAACATGTGTGCTGTCCTGAACTGCTGCCAGGGCATCCTCTCAACACCTTCCCTGGTTGTCATCTACACGGCCAAACAGGAGCTGCTTGTGGCTTTGCTAAGTCACCTTTGCTGGTCAGCCTGCAGGCAGCCAGAAAGTGCAGTGACAGCCCAGCTATTTGAGGTCATTCACCTCGTCCTTAGCCATTATCTTTGTATCCAGCAACAACAGGCCAACCCCCGACGTATCTTCATGGATGTGACTGGACACCTGCTACCGCCCTGCCTTATCCTGAGGCACTTGCTCTCTGGGGGCACATGGACACAGAGCCAGCTGCAGCCGGTGCTAAGCCGGGATGTTAGGAGTCAGATTGAGGCCATGCTTCGAGGTGGGATTTTTCGGCCTGATATGCTCTCATCATACAAAGAAGAACTCTTGGACCAGCAGCAAAGTGACTCAAAGATGGGCACCATGAAGAGTCTTCTTGCTCCTCTGGACACTGTGGCTACCAGGCTGGTAAGTGCTGATTTCTGTGAGCCACGCCTTCATGCCTCTGTAGTGGCCAGCTCAGTGGCCCTGCTGTACAGGCTCTTTCTGGATTCTTACCTCAAGGAAGGAAACCAGTTTCTCTGCTTTAAGGCTCTACCCAGGCTTTTTGGCTGCCTGCGAATTTTACGCCTACAGGAGGAGCAACTGAAAAACTTGTCCACATCTGATTGGACCACGGAGCTCCTGGTTGTGGAGCAACTGCTAAACTTTGTGGCCAGCAACAACATCTACAACGTGGCTGCTGACAGGATCCGGCATGAGGAGGAACAATTCCACTTCTACCGGCGATTGGCTGAGCTGCTGATAAACCACTCACAGGCACCTGTGCCAGCCTGGTTTCGCTGCCTCAAGATTTTGATGTCTCTGAATCATTTGATTCTGGAGCCAGACCTGGATGACCTATTGTCTTCAGCTTGGATTGATGCAGAAGTAATGGAGTTTCGAACCAAGAAAGCCCAGGAGGTGCTTATTGACACCCTCTTCCAAACATATGCCAAACTCCGACAGGTGCCACGGTTGTTTGAGGAAATTTTGGGGGTGATCTGCCGTCCAGCTGCTGAGACACTGAGGCAGCCTGTGCTGACTTCAGCCCCCTCCACAGTGCTCTCTGCCTGCCTCCTGGAACTGCCACCAAGTCAGATCCTAGACACATGGTTTCTTGTGCTAGAGAAGTTCCAGTCTGTAGTCCTGCCCTGCTTGCAGAGTGATGTTGACATGGCCCTAAAATCTCTCTCCCTGAGCTCATTGCTGCATTGTATCATGTTTAACATGCGGAGTCTAGACAGCAGCACACCAGTGCCCATCATCAGGCGGATGCAATGTGTAATGAACAGGATGCTGGGAAATCTCGTGAAGCCTCTGCTGGCCCTTCTCCCCGGCTCCCCAGGCCCAAAGTCTGAGTTGTGGGTGCAGAAGGTGAGTGACTCTGCACTACTACTCTCTTACACCTGGATGCAGGTGGACACCATGCTCAGTTTGAACTGTGGCCAATATCACTCGGTGGCTGAGGACCTGACCAAGGATGCTCTAAAGGTCTCAAACCTCCCTTCATTGCTCCCAGGTTTGGAAGCACAGCATTGGAGGAAGGTCGAGAAGTTTATAGCTCAGTCCAACTCTCTCAGTAGTTATTGCTTAAAACAGCTCTACCTGCAGAAAATGAAAAGGACTTTACTGCAGGCTAATCCCCTTTTGGAAGAAGTCCTCCATACTTTGAGGTATGATGCTGCTTACATTCTTGATTCTGCCAAAGACAGCTTGAGTCAAAAGACAGTGGCTTCCTGGGATGGGCAGGTGGGGACAGTGTGTGCATCCACATACCATGTAGCACACTGGCACTTGATTGTGTCCAACCTCACAATTTTAATACCCTACCTATGTCTGGATGATATAAGGTATGTGGCCAGTGTCTTGTTAAGAACTTTATCAACAAGCAAAGCCCAGGAAGGCTCAGTGGATGAAGAACCATATATCACACTTGAGAATCTATCCACAGCCCTTCTTCATAGTCCTCTCTTTCCAGAGATGCAGTCCCTCCATTCCGCCTTCCTGATGTGCATAGTTGCAAGATGTTCTAGCATTCTGTGCTCTGGTGACCAGGATTTTCTCAGTCAGCAGCTACCTTGGCTCTTTGAAAAGGACCACACAGTTTTGGCTCATTGGGAAACCAGATTTGCAAAAGTTGGACCTGAAAGTGCAGAACCAAGAAGAGAAATTGCCCAGAGCTTACTTTCTCTGGTCAAGAGTGACTTCCTCATCCGTTTGGAGGAAGAGCAGCTAGAAAGCCTCCTGGGGCTTTTGCAGGTCATTTCCACTCTACACCTGGACAGTCTCTTACCACCCTATCATGTGCATTATTTTCTCTTGTTGCTGTCCATGTCTATTACCACAGTGGGCTGCTCCTGCCCCTCCTTGAGCCTCCAGTTCTTAGTGACTTGCTACCGGCTTCTCAGCTGCCTGCAGAGGGGAAAGAGTGCTCGCTCTGTGTTCAGGGTCCTGTATGTTAGTGATTTATTTGAGATTGTGCTGACCTCATTGCTGCAAGCCAGTAATAGACTCCTTGTGAAGGTAGATGATCCCCTGTGGCTGCTGCTTCTCCAAGTGATGGGGACATTTTTGGAGCAGCTGATGCAAATGCTCATCCAGATAAAGCTGAATTTGGTGCTCAATTTTGGGAAAATCACTGCCTTCCTCTCAAGGTGCAAATCGTACACTGAAGCAGCTTCTAGCAAGCAGTTGGAAAACCAGATTCCTCTGAGCAGTCAGCTACTTTTGGTGGCCCTAACAAAATTGTGCCAAGTCCTGGGGCCTTTTGTCAGAGAGCGGAGGCAGCCACAGGAGGCACCAGCGGTGCTGCCCGAGCTGCTGCAGCAGGCGTTGGATGCTGCACTTCAGCTGTGTTCCACATCAGGGGTTGGGGCCAGCTGCCTACCCTCTGCCCTCCTCCCTGCTGTCACCACACTCTTGGAAGTAGACCTGAGTCAGCACTGCAGGGACAGAGTGGCTGAGATTACCCAGGTGACAGATAGAACACTTCTGTCACATGTGGCCCTCTACCAGGATGTTTACAAACAACTACTATCAGAGTTGCCAGTCCTTGCAGGGAACACTCAGTGTTTCCAGGCAGCCTTGCAGTTCCTAACTCTGTTCTTTTCAGCCCCAGAGCTCCATCCCAAGAAGGGCTCCGTTTTTACCTCTGTGTTTCACTCTGTGAGAAGAGTTCTTACAGGTAAGATGTTTCCTCCTCAGCTGAGTCTGGGCTACAGGGCTTAGGTCGTTAGAGGTCCAATGCTGGCAGATTGATTTGCCACGCCTTGCCTTCTGGGTAGGAAGTGACACCTAGTGTATGACACCTGGTGCCACACAGGGTCAGTGAGAAGCTTGCCCTGCAGTCATGGCGCTGGGACTTCACATTCTCCTGTCTGTATCCTGGGCACATGCAAGCAGTCGCCCTTGCAGCTCTCTGGCTGTACCCTGGCTGCAGCCTCTGGGCCCACTTGTGGGCTCCTCAGGGCTCATCTGGTCTGGAGAGTATCCTATCTGCAGGTCTGGTTCCAAGTAAAACCTGATCTCTTTTGTCTCTAGCTTTAGCTTGCCAGTCCCTTGGGTAGTTCTTGTGGGTAGTCTTAGCTCCTGTAGGCTCTTCTGGGTCAAATCTTCAGTACCACAGGTTGACTTTAAAAAGATGTGAAATCTATCAACTTTAAAAAAATCAGATGATGCAATTTCTAGGGAGCCTCCTATAGTTACTTGAGGTAAAACTGTGCCCTCCCTCCACCACAGTGAGGTACTAGTGTTTTATTTGGGTGTCATCCTGCCAGGCCAGCTAACTAGGACCAAAGGTACAGCAGTGAGAGAGTGGATGTGTTTCTTCCCAGGGAAATGACCTGTGCAGTCTCCTAGGTTAAAGGTTGTTGGGTTACTATGCAGCTGCCGTGAAAATGATAATTATCAAAACTGTTAAGTAGTGTCTAAAAAATACGTATTAGTGTTAGGCAAGACCCACAGTATAAATTGTGTGTGTGTGTGTGTGTGTGTGTGTGTATGTATATGTATATATGTGTGTATGTGTGCCTGTGTGTGTGATACTAGAGGCCTTCATGCTGAACTACACCCCTTTTTATTTTTTTGAGATAGGGTCTTGCTAAGTTACTAACTTGCCCAGGTTGGACTTGACCATCTCATCCTCCTGCTTCAGCCTTTTAAGAGTGCTGAGATTACAAGTGTATGCCACCATGTTCAGTTTACAATATAAAATGTTCAACGTGTTATGATTATAAGTAAATAAAATACATATGCATGTTACAAGGGCTAGAAACATGCAGAAATTAAAATGATTATATTAAAACACTGTAATTGTTGCTATGTTCGTATTTTGTACTTTTTGTTTTTTGCAACAGGATCTCATTCTAATTCAGGCTGGCTTTGAACTATGTAATCCAGGCTGGTCTCAAACTTGTGACCCTCCTGAGTGTTGGGATTGCAGGTGTGCACCACTATGCCTGGCTGTCTTAAACTTTCTTTGTTTTGTTTTGTTTTTTTGAAACAGGGTCTCACTATGTAGTTGAGACTGACCTGGAACTCAACTACATAGCTCAGGCTGGTCTTGAACTCACAGCGATCCTCCTACCTCAGCCTCCTGAGTGCTGGGATTACAGGCGTGTACCACCACGCCTGGCAATTTTATACTATTTTTTATACTATATTTTAATAATAGATTAGTACTTTTTTCTAGGATTTCATTAAATTGAATTTAAGCCTGGGCTAGATCAATATTTTTGAATTCCTATTTAAAGCCTTACCCTAAAAAAAGACTATGTTTAATAATATAATAAAATATCATTAAGATTTGTTACCCTTGTTAGTGTATAAAAATAAAATAAACTTTTAGCCTCCAAAGGAGACAAAGGTGAATAGAGCCGATATCTTTTCTGTATCAAGACAGCATGCCCCATGGTTGGCATAGGGTATTCTGTTTAGTTTTAGGGATTTCTAAGGGGTGTGGGGTAAGAGGACAGACCCTGGGGAGATGAGGCTGGGGAGTCATGTGTCGAGCTCTGCTTTCCACAGAGAAGTGCTGAGGGTTAGTGGCCCTTGAGAAAGTGAAGCCACCTGGTCTACTTGGGCCACTGCCAGACCTGAGTGTGTGGCCTGAACAAGGCTGTGTTGTCTCCCTGTCAGCGACCTTCCTGTCTGGCTGGGTTGTGGATGAACTGGAAAGACTGCATGACGTTCTAGCTTCTCCTGTCAGTAACTCAGGCAGCAGTGTTCTCTGTCCTACTGGGGGCTGAAACCGAGACTCTTACTTAGACTAGTACAGTGTTTGAAGTGACCATCTGCAACAGCAGCTGGCAGATTAAAGCTCTGGCTGCTCTGCCCCTTTATTAAAGAGTGCTGTGTCCCCTTGTGTGCCAGCCCTGCTATGCAGAGGCAGTCCTTAAACCCTAACTCCGACCCCAGGGACAGAGCGTCCACCACAGTGAGGCCAGCATGCTACCCCATCCCCTTGGCCAGCCCTTTCGTTACTGGATGGGGTCCTGGTGTTCTTCGATGTCCTTGGTGCCTGAAAAAGACATACAGAAAAAAGCATCAAAGCTTTATTGAAAGTGAAAAGAGGTATGCTCGACAGGATGAGAGTAGGCTGGTGAAAAGGCTCACAGTGGTCCCAAGGATAAGGGGAAAGAGATCTCTTGTGTCCAAAATAACTGGATTGACTCCTTCCTCATTCAGGTAAGGCATTGGGACATTTGTCCTATCAAAAACTCAGCTGCCCTTAACTGGGTATGGTGGCCACATGCCTATAGTCCCAGTATTCAGGAAGCTGAGGCAGAAGAATCACTGTAAGTTTGAGGCCAGCCTGGGCTATATAGCAAGCTCCTGTCTCAAAAAACAAAACAAAACTCACTTGGCCTCATGCATAAACTGTTCTATCCAAAAACTTGTTTGGCTTCTTGGCAGATGTGTATGAAGGTTGGAAACATCTTTTGATTAGCTGTGCACAATATAAATGAATTGAAAATGCACCTTTCTGATTGGTCCAAAGTGTTCAGGAGCAGTAAACCTGACGTTACTTTGGGTCCTGTGTTTGCACGTCCTCTTTTTAGGAAACAATCTTGCTCAACCTGTTGTGAGTTTTTATGATCTTTGACATATTCTCTCTAGTTGCTTGTCTGCTTTGCCCCAGCCCAGTGTATCTCACTTTCACACCTGAACCGTCATACTCTGTACAAGGAAGTGCTGGAGAGGTGGGCAGTCTGGAGTATGTGCCCAGTGAGGAGTGGTCCAAGGCATGGGTTGGCGGGGCACATATAAAGGTAGCCTGGAAAAACTGAGAGGTGGCCACACAGGTGACCTTGAGTGGTGCAAAAGTGGGTTTCCAGGGCGGGGGGTTTAGCTCAGTGGTTCTGGTGCCAGCCTCAAGCACAGGGACCTGAGTTTGATCCCCGATACCAAAAAATTGGGTTTCTGTGTGCAAATGGGGGTTTTGGCTTGCCAGCGTGAGCTGTGAAGAATGCTTTTTGACAGTGGAACAGATACCTCTCTTGGCACAGAAGCCAGCATTTGTTATGCTGCCCCTCTGAGTGTAGTATTGCCACTTGCCTAGAGGTTTGAGCTGCTGACTTGGCCTTGCTAAGTAACAGGCTTCCACATAGATCACAAGGGGAAGGCAGGGGATGCCAGAAATCAGCCAGGATGTGGGACTGCATTGAGAGGTGTGTACAGGCTAGGTGTGTATGTATGTGACGGTGGCAATGGGGAGCCATCCTTGGAAGGCTCTTGACGTAAGCGCTATGTCTTTTCTTGTTTGCCAACCTCAGGAGTTGGTGCTGTTAGGTTCATTTCACTGATGAAGGAATTGAGGCTGAAAGAGGCCATAAGTCTAGGGTCTTACCGCTAGTGAGAGGCTCAATCCTACACCATCATCTTTCAGAGCTTCTGACCCTTGCCCTCAGTGCTGTACTCAAAAGTAGTGAGCTATAAACATGGGTGAGCATATGTATCACTGTTCTTTCTCTCATTTACAAAAGCTTTGTTTCTTTTTTTTTTCTTCTATTCCCCTTTTCCCCTCCCCGCTCTCCCTAGTTCCCCTTCCCTTTGAACATTTTCTTCCTGTTTCACAATATCTGTTACACACTTAGGTCCTTGTTTACCCTTTTGGTTTCTTACACCTACACCAGAATAACAATGAAGTATTTAAATGTGTGTCTGATTTATTTCACTTAAGAGAATGATCTCAAGGTGCACCTTTTTGTTTCCGGTGGTTTCGAACTTGGGCTTGCGAGGCAGGTGCTGGAACCACTGAGCTAAATCCCTGGCAACTACTCAAGGTGCACTTTTGAATGGCTGTGTGCTGCAGCCCTTTTAGCATACCCTCATTATGTCCCTTGTCTGTTACATCATAACAGTCTTGGTTTCTTTCTTCAGTTCCTGAAGTTCCTGCTCAAATCATTCAGGACTTGGAGCCTGACTTGGGAGCCCTTTTTGCCCAGATGCTGGAGGCTGGGACAGCAGAGGACTTGGCACTGGTGATGCGGTCTGTGCTCCAGGGGCTGGATATTGGCTGTGCATGGAGGGCAGACCTGCAGGCGAGTAGCTTCTTTCCCCGCATGTAGAGGTCCAGAGCAGCATCCGCTCCATGTTAGCCTTAAAACTAAATAAATTCACTCTGGGAGAATAGAGGCAAAGTGGGAGCTATGGAAGGAGCTGGCTGTGTGTAGGCCTGCCTGGAGCAAGATTGTAAGTATTACATAGTCACAATATTGACTCCCACAAAAGTTGAATCCTGTTTTTCCATGACGCTTTGAAAACTTGTACTGGATTTGGTTGCACAGCTGCAGGCCAGTGTTTTAAGTACCTTTGGGGCCCGAGTTTCCATGTAGTTCCTGAGAAAGCCTGTGTGGCCTTCCTGTGGGGAGTGCCTGCAGCCGTAAACTGGTTCATATCTTTTCTGCCCCATGAGTGTCTTTTTTTTTTTTTTGAGTCATAGTCTCATTATATAGTTCAGGCTGGTCTTGAACTCACTATGTAGCCCAGGCTGGTCTTGAACTTGTGGTAATCTTCCTGCCTCAGCCTCTTAAGTGCTGGGATTATAGATGTGTGCCACCGCATCTGCCTGAAATGTCTTTTTACCTTTTGGTCACAGATGACACCCTGGGACTGGACTTTGATTTTGATGTGAGGACACCAGGAGAGGGTGGTTGGGAATCCATGCTCAGAGTGGGTCCAGGTGTTGATGAGATGCTTAGTAATAGCCTGTCCCTGCCCACCTGCCCTCTGGTTTAAAATCTTCACCTACCCTCATAGCACCCAGCTAGCGTCTCATTCCAACCCTTCTGTCTGTGAGCACATGTTGTTCTTGCTTAGTGAAGTGACAGTGTCCTCTTCAGGGCATCTTGGCAAAGTGGGATCAGTGATTAAACTCCTTGTGGAGTACACTGAGCTGGTCCACACTTGAATGGTGAGGCACTCTTGAAAAGCCTTGCTGTTGAGAGCTGAGCTCCTCTTCACTGCCTCCCTGATTGTGTGCAGATGTGAAGGTGCTACTTGCCTTCAGGACTCAGCCTTGACTGGTCTGCCCTTGACCCCAGGGCTCTGGAGCTCTGATCTTTCACCAGCACCAGTGAGTGGCCCATCCCTGGAATTCTAAAGAGGGTTTCCTACTTCTGCTGTTAAAATTTCCCCTTTTGTTTCAGGCTGTTTTGTCTGCTGTTAGGTTGCTGAAGCTGCTACTGAGCTGCCCACTCAGTGGAGAGAAAGCGAATTTGTTGTGGCGTGCATGCCCCCAGATTATCACGGCCCTGACGGTGAGTGGCCTCTGGAGACGTGCCCTCCAGCTTGTCCTCTCTTTCTTGTGTAAAGACAAAGGCTGGTGTTTGGGTTCTGCTGTTCTCCTGTATAGGGCAGAGTGTTTCTGGGACTGCTTCCTAGAGCAGGATGCCCAGATTGTGTGTCCTGTCTGCACACATTGGTGCCAGCTGGCAGCCATGGCACAGAAATGGTGCAGAGGGATGCTAGGAAGCCTTAGGCAGACAGTAGTAAGAGGAACAAGGTGATAGGTGAGACTGCTGTGGAAGCTGTGTAATTGGAAGAGTGAGGAGGAATCTTGAGGTTTCCTGTCCCCACATAATGCTGTAGTCTGCTTGATGCATTCAATTATTCGAAGGTAAGTGTGTGTGTGTGTGTGTGTGTGTGTGTGAGATGCAGTGAGAGAACAGTATGGAATGAGATAGTAATGTTGCAGGTAGGTTATTATTACTATCCTACCCATGTGTTGAATTTTGTATCTCATAGCCCCTTGGTTTTGTTTCACTAGAACATAAGTCTGCTTGAGAAATGGGCTGGTCTGAATGTTCTACCCTCTGGTGAGCCTGACCCAAGCATTCTCGCCGTGAATGTAAAGGAGCAGTGTTGTGTACTTTACCATTGTCCGCAGCCTGCTTCTGGCTTTTGCTGACTGAGAATTGCTGTGGATCAGTGTGTTCTCAGAGCAAAAGGATTTCATAGTCTTGTTTTCAGTTTCTGCTCTATGTCACTTTCCTAAAAATCTTCCTCAGTGACTGAAGTGTCATTATCCCCATCTGATGGAGCTGCTGAGTGGGGTGGGGCCATGCTGGTGTCCAAGTCTCATAAGTAGTCCCAGTGGTGATGGCATGCAGTAGGCCACGCTGCAATGCACCAGGCTAGACTACCACAGGTGTGGCAAGTGGACAGCTCAGCCAGAACACCCAGCAGGGAATGGAGACTGTTAGACTCCATGACCCAATAGGCTCCCCTGGGGTGCTTAAGGTCAGAAAGGGCCCCAAGTGCATTCTTTTTTTTTTTTTTTTTTTTTTTTTTG